CATTTCCAAAATAAGAAAAACAAAAAAAGGCTAGACCTAAAAATAAATATTTTTGTCGATACGATTTAGAGCAGCTGACCAGCAACAAGAACTATGTAAACTGTGTGATACTTTTTGTTTAAAAAAGAATATGTATAAACGCTAAAAAAGTTGGTCCTTCGGTAGAGCTCGGGCAAGGTGCAGAATGGCTGAAATCAAGCCTCAAGGGTCAACGCTAACCATCCAGATTCGGGTTTTCGAACCACGTTTCCTGTGGCTAGCTATAATTAGATAACTAGTGGCCAACTCATTGGAAAAGAAAAAGGATAATTATACTTCGGTCCTCTTAATTATATCTCTTCATTTCAATTAGTCCTACCAACTATTTTTTTTTCTCTCCCTTTTGATTCGTTGGAAAGGAAAGTTGAGTCATCTAGACGCTCTAACAAAAGTAATCGAAGCTTGGTCCCTTCTAAATTTTACTTTTTTAATGGAAACTTTTATAATTTGTGGGTCATTTTATAACAATTTTTTTTATCTATTTTGTGGCTGATTTACTATATTATAAATGTTTTTACTACTGTCGTGGTAAATAAATATTTTATCATAGACAACTCCTTTGTCGGGTGGTATTCAAGTACAACAAGTTCTTCTAGTTGTTGTTCGACCAGGCTAGCCAAACAATCTGCTCATTGATTTCCTTCTCAAGTATCCTATCAACCACTCTAGTTCTTGTTTAACATTTATATCGGTCTCATATTATCCTCAATTATTATATTTTTTACATGGTACTTGTAATCTCGGTTTTTAGTTTTGCATACATGTATTTTATCACAGAAATGAATATTTTCTATTCAAGATTTAATAAACATTTGATTCTAGAGCAATGAAACCAATTCAAATAATTAACGAATAATGTGAGAAACTTTAGTTAAAGAGCAATGCCATACAGACCTAATTAATTACAACTATTAATGTATAAGATTATATTTAAATAACATTTTTCTTAGTTGAAATGATGAACTGAGATGAGCATTAATGAAAAACATATTTCGATGGACTCTCTCAATATGAAACTTTTGTCAATTTGATCAAGTTCGAATCATTTAAATGCATCATACATCCCCTCATTTTACAAACTCAGAAATGAACACCTGCCCTTAGTTAGCACGCAACCATCAATTGATTCCGCCATTGAATGGGACCATTCTTCCAGTCTCTCTCTCTCTCTCTCTCTCTATATGTAGGAGGAGCATGCTTGCGTAGCTTCCTTTTATTTTTCTGCATTGATAAGGACGAGAAAGCATTGATTAAAGAGAGACATGGGCAAGGACGAGAAAGCATTGATTAAAGAGAGACTTGGGCTGACTTGAGTGAGGACCACCACCCCCACCACCTTCATTTACTCATTTTGTCTCTGCATTTGAGTAATACGCAATACAAGGAGTAATTAAAAAAAAAAAAACAAAGTTTCCACAACTACCAACCAACCCACCGATGCTTATCTACAACAAAAGACTAGCTTGGGTTTCTGTTAACTTTTTGATAATTCTATTTCACCGATTATTGAAAGAAGAGGAAACATATATATGTAGATCATTGTACATTTTTCACGTACAAGCGCGAATACACATAATAATTGATTTACATTCGCAAAAGTAAAACATAATTAAATTGTTGTAGTCTTTCTAAAATAAAATATAGTTATCAATCATTTACTCTTTTTCTACGTGCATCGGATGTGTTTTGTTTTAAAATTTAGTGACTTCAAGAAAGGCCAATGGGTCAGGAATGCTGACCATTGTTGCCATTGAAAGTGGCAAGGACAATGTGAAACTTACTTGCATCATCAAAAAAAAAATATTGCCGGCCTATGCGCACAAATATCATTGTCGTCAGAATTGCATGGTACGAGCAATAATTTATCATATGATACGATATACAAAATGGTGTACATCTATCTCGTATACTTATTTATATTGCTTGCACTTATCATAATCGCCAATGTATTGTGATATTGCATTTTAGAGCCTCTCTCATATTGTTTATGTTTCCATGTGTGACTAAGCTTAAAAGTTCACATTCACCTCCTCAAAAGTTAGGGTTTTTTTTTTTATCTTTGTGTATAGATCTTTCAATCTCTTTCTTTTTCTTTTTCTTTTTTTTCATATTTTTCATAAAGTACACACCCACATCAAATATTATTAACCCTTGTCACTTGTCAAGTTCTCTACATATGTTTTTCTATACTCGAAAGCTTATTTCTAGAACTTAAAGAAAACCCGTTTTCGTTCGGAAAAAAAATTACAAAAGCTTTTTATGGTTCAAGTATTTCAGGCTTCTTTTTGTATTTTCATACAAAAAATAAATAATTTTATGTATTTTCTTCCTAAATAAAATTTAATTAGTACCTTTGACTAGCTTTGTTACCTTTAGAAAATGAAGTTCCCCTTCAAAATTTGTTGTTATGACCCACGACGCATCGAAAGAATGCTTATAATTCTGAAAATGATATTTCCAAAACGCATTGTAATGTTAGACCCTCTGCGTATTGGGATGTGAGATGGGGACCGGTGGGCTGGTTTGCCACCCATTGGGTGCGTACATGTTTCAAGTTGGTCTGGGCTCAGACTGGGCTTGGGCCAGGCATGTCTAAACCAGATTCAGAGGTTGGGCCAATCTCTTTGTCACGACTTAGGAGGGCCCGTGGCTTACAAAATGTTATTGTTATACAGCAAATCAATAACGATACGGAATAAAAAATTCGGTAATATATTTTTAAAAATTATTATTTTTGTGGGTATTTTTATAATAGAAATATTTATCACTTATGCGAGTGATTTACTACTTTTTTGGATATTTTTATCAATTTATGGGTATTTTTATCACTATTGTGTTATATTTTTATTATTTTATAAGGATAAAATACAGTAACTCAAACATACAACTTAATCTTTATGTTTCCTATCAAATATCTAATATACATATTTATGATATATTAAAACTCTTCCAATTTGTTTTCTATTTGATTTGGTCACTAATAAACATATTAATGATTTATTAGGACTCTTCTAATTCGTTTCATAATTTATTTAGTATTTTCACACTGATTACCCAACAAAGTTTATTTCAAATTTGGTCATACTCAACATCGGGCATAACACCCTTGATTCTGATCCACAAATCTTTTTCAAACACCACATATAAACTTGTTCTTCTGAGTCATTACAATCCTCTTTGTTTTTCAAAAATATGTGTTTTGGCCTACATTATCTATGCATATATGGCCATGTCTTACATTTGAGAGGTTTCAATGATCAATACTTTACCATTTAATGGTAAAACCCAGTAACTCAACCTGCAAAACACAATATCAGAGTTTATGTTAGCTCAATAGCTCCCAAACTATTTTAATACCATGAGATCCACTTTAAAAGCCCAATACCTTGGAGAGACATTTTTAACACAACATGTGTGGTATTTTTTGAAATCCAAACAATCTAGAAGCAATTTAGTCTCTCGTTTGGTTTCATACCAGCTTTAATTGTGAATCTAAACAAAAATATGCATCATTTAATTTTTCAAGATTACATCCTTAATGTACGCGAGACGAAATCAATCTTCACATTATGTCGTACATGCATGGTAAAAGAGTCTTTTTCAACATGACCATCAACTTGATCACTAAATCGCCAATAACTTGCTTTAATTGATGCATCGGGATCATAAATCTAACTTTTTTAGATTTCCTTTTATGTTCAACAATTGACTCTCTTCTAACGATAACTAGAAAAATTATGTCAAGATTATCAATCTAACTTTGATACTACTTTTTAAGTTTGCACAACGAATAATTAACACTAATCGCATAAGTTTGAAAATAGGAATTTAAGATACGACAAACATTGAAAACACAACATAAAGATATAACATAGTTCAATTCAGTATACTTATCTTTGTATACTGTACCTACATCCACGGATCAAAAACTTACCTTAATATATTATTAACTGAAAAATTTGTCATTTGATAACCAAAAACTTATATTGATATATTATTAACTGAAAAACTAGTCATTTGGTAATTGATTACATAATATTCAATCCTATTTATACGGATAAAATACTGTAACTCAAATCTATCAAGATACAACTTGATTTTTATATTTCCTATTATATGTCTAATATACTTCATGTTCTAAGACCTTTTTTTAATGGACAAAATTAAAAAAGAGTAATATATTTCACAAGTTTATCTAAAACTTTAAAAAAACATGAAAGTATAATTTTTGCAGATATATGTAAAATCTTTTATAAAGTTCTAAAATATAACAAAATCTTCTAAAAAAAATCTAATAGTAACGATTTCTAACTTTAAAAGTGATAATTTTTCTCAAATTCTTTCCCTTTTTTTCTTTCATTCTCATTGCCCCTCCCAACTTTTATCTCTCTCTCACTCTCATTGTCTTTCTCTAATTCTTTGTTCTTATCTCTAACTCTCATTGAAGATAATAATTTTTTTAACGATTATTGGAATTGCGAAATGATTACTAGAATTGTGCAACTCTAATAATCGTTAAAAAAATTATTATCTTCTTAAAATATCAAATGAAAGCTCATTGAAAATAATTAAATTTTTTAACGATTATTGGAGTTGCAATATAATTACTAGAGTTGTACAAATCTTATAATCGTTAAAAAAATTATTATCTTTTTAAAATATTAAATAAAAATAAAATTTCATGTAAAATTCTCGCTTTAATTCTCACTTTAAGCCCTAATTTGTATTTGGCAGCCCTTGTATTCGGTATAAAAAATTACTATTTTTGTGTATATTATTATCATTTTTGTAAATATTTTTATAATTTTTATAGTAATTATTTTTACCACTTTTTTCTAGTACCACTACATTGGTAAAAATACCCATAACAGTAATAAAAACATACTCACAATAATGATAAATATGATTACAATACCAAACTTTTTTTATTTAAGTACCGTAGACAACTCCTCCATACATAATGCACAACAAAAATACAATATAATTATATAGTGTGGGCCTAAGCCAGCCCATAGACTGAATGTTTTAACTCAGAACTAACCAACCCAAATGAAAAAGAAATTTTTTGTTTTAAGTTTGGAAAATTCCATCATAACAGTACACCAGCATATATTGTAAATGGTTGAATACAAAATTCTTTGGTAGCTACAGTTCTCATCCAGAACCTAGTATCTGTCTACCAACATACACGCCAACCGAATATTCTGTAACCACCAACACTTGACAACATTAAAAGAATACAGGTGCTTAATGCTAATAAACATATGGCAATATCCTCCACGGAACAAGTTTACAGTATTCTGCCCACACTTCTCTGTACTTCTCTGCACACCGGATTTCATCTCTTCTTTCTCTCCATATCAATAATATAAGAAGATATATCGGGTAGAAGTATGGAACAGGGGAACTACAAAGTTGAAAATTATTTCAAATTCAAAAACCCATGTCAAAAACTGTATCAGGATTAAAAATAGAGCACATGATATTACCTTATCCCACAAGGTAAACTAAAGGACAACGCTATTAACAAATCCCCAAGGTAATTAGAGTGTCTTGCAATGCCCCTTCAAAAGAAAAATAAATAAGTAAACTTAAAGAGTATCTGGAACTCATGAAGCATCGTAAGGACTGAAGATATGTGCAAAATGAGACTGTGTGCAAGCCATGTTTTATATAAGTGGTCATGGGAAAAGTCATACTGGCATTCCCGAGAAGAAATTGCTGGTATCACAATTTATCAGAAATTATAAGTTGTGGATGTATGTCAGTGAGCACAAACATCACAATTTTGTGTGGACACCATTTCACCAGACCAACTCCACCCCGTCAAGACAATAGAGAGTCGAGATAAACCAAGATTACTCTTAACTGACAATAACAGTTGGGAAAAAACCAATACCATGATCCCCTCCCCCCTTTCTTGTAACAGATCGGAAGACAACTGAAAAATCGACAGATAAACATAAATGGGATTATTCTAATGTGCACTAAAGTGATACTTGGTGAAAACTCAGGCCACTATAAGAAGTCATGCAAAAGAAAATTGAGCTACATGCAGTTCTCTATATTTTTTTTTCCTTGGTGTCATATATATCAGCCTCCAGAATCTATTAAGGCCAAAATAAACCGGGTGTATTCTATAATATAAACAAGAAGGAGAAAAAGAAAAAAAAAAAATAAAGGATGTCAAAAATTGAACCTCTCAACCGGACCATTTATTTTATCCATCCCAACACTTTTACCATTGTGTTACTGCGTTGGCTAAGCATCACCATCATTAACGAGCTTTCAAAAAGCTATTTTATCACTTTTCATGGACATAAATATGAAGATGGTAAAAATTTCAAGTCAGATGAAAACCTTACCAATAACCAGAAGCAAGCAATTTCCCCCCAATAACTTTGGGAGGCCTACCCCATATTGGTGCTTTGGGGTTCTTTTTGAACACATGCTTCTGCTTGTTAGCTCCTCTAAATACCTTATACCTTCCCAGTTCCAAATAAAATGTCATTTTAGCAGGTGATAAAAATATAAGAAAAAGTTTGAGAGTTGTGGGAGCAATGAGATTTGATTACTGCAAGCTACTTACCCTATCAAAAATACAATGCAATTTGCAATAACAGCGGCTGTTGTTAGCTCTACCTGGTTACTCAAAAGCCACCAACCCTATGACAGAGACGATAATCAGTCATCTAACGACCAAGTAAATAGATACGAGTTCTCTAAGGAAAAAATCCCTCCTCATATGTCAAGGAACAGACATGCCTGAATACTAAAGGCGAAAGGAATCCACACTAGATCTCCAAATACCAGCATGAATCCCAATTTTTCAGCAATTATGTCCCATCTACAAAAGATGGCCAACATTCAAATGGTTAGAACTGTAAATGAATAAATTGCTTATCATGAGAGAGAGAGGAGCAGTATGGACATGAGGAGGAAGGCAGAGAGCGAAGAATTGTAAATGAGATTACAAAATTAACATAAAAGCAACACTATACTGTGAGAGGAGCAAGATTGAAGGAAAAGATACTGACAAGGTTCAAGCAATAGGAGAACTACTTGGAATAGATAGGGGATAAGATATAGACATGAAGATATTAACACAATAGGTTAGCTATAGGGTCAGAACAACTGAAAACCAGAGCCAAATCAGAATGTCTTTTAGTATCAGAAACTGTTGCATGATAACTAGGTTGCAGAATAACTAGTTATCTCCATTGTAGATGGGACTGCATGAGAAAGGAAGAACTTTGAGCATGCTACTCTTCTAGTGCTCAGGTTTATCATCCCTGCCTTTTAGTTTCCTTATTTTTTTAGCTTTATATGCTGTAATTAAGAAGCATCAGGCCCATGTTTTATTGGGCCTAACATATCCCAAAAAGCAAGGCCAACACACAAAAATGTCTGCAATATTTTGATAAAGAATGCCACAATTGCATTAGTTCAATAAACTGGGAAGGAGTCAATTTTAAATCCAGAAAGAAAGGTAATATACTTACGTGGATGTCATGTATGCCTCATAATAGAAGTAGTCCAGTATATATAACTGAAAAAAGATGTAAAGCAACAGATAAATAAACAATCACAGATAAGTTCACGAAACGTAGGGGTGGTAGTTGGGCTGTGCAGTGTCAGACGCATCCAAAATCGAACTTAACTATGTTGAAATTGGGGCAACCCAAACACGACATGAGTAACTAATTGTATCAAAATCTCTAACTACAACTCAATCCATTTATTATGCATGACATGACATGACATGACCCATATAACCTATTTAGTAAATAGGTTCTGCCGGGTTGGGTGGTTCTATTGGATGGATCATTCGAGTAAGAAAAAAGCAACATAATTAACAAAAAAAAGGGTTGGATAGGTTCTATGAGACATTCGTGTCACATATCATATTTGTGTCCAGGTAATAAAAGTTTCAAGCAGGTTGACGTCACAAAAGCAGACCCGACACATTCAATAAATGTGTCAATTCAAATACAACACAATTAACAACTAATGTCAAGATCTCCTACAGTCCCATCTAAACTTCTTGTCAGGTTTGAATTATACTAACGTGTTGTGTCAAAAACTGCCACCCATACAAAAGTATATGGTCTATACACAATTACCATGCAGAAAAGCTGGTATAGGATCATTGATTGGCTTAAGTTGGCCTCTTGGATACATCTTGCAAGCACTGAAAGATTGATAAGTAGCCATCCCATCATTCCAGCTCTAACGAAGAAGAATCTACATAAGAGTATCTCATTATTACCACATGTTCTCCACATATTTTGGTGAGATCAGTTATTGCATTCACGTGTTTGGAATTTCCTTTTTATCTGTATACATAGGGAGAAAATAAAATTGTACCATGCTAATTATTTTTTAAAATAGGGATGGTTGAAAAAATAATTATGGTGTACTAATTTTTCATTGAAATCCTCATGTTTTGCATGGAAAGTAATACGATGCTGACTACAATAGTGTCTACAGTGTGAAACTGGGAATAAAATCATTGATGGATTTGTAAAAGAGATTGATTGTCAATTTACTCAATAACAAGACAGCATGTAAATTAGATTCCAAAAACTAGCCACAAAAATGAGAAATTCCCAGAATGTCGTATAGATTACATACTTGAGGTCAATGCCCATGAATTGAGGATTCAGCTGTATCCCAAACCACCTATTGAGTTAATAATAAAGTAGTCACATAAGCCATATTGTAAAGCAATTTTCAAGGCAAAAAGGCATAGACTAGTGAGATCTGGGATAAATGCTCAGCAAATAGATCACATTACATATTAGTTTGCTCACATTTCATCATTGTCACAGGAAATGGTAGAAGATGCTACCCATGGACAATTTTAAGAAAAAAGTTATGGACTTTCTTGCTAATTAAGAAGATAAAATAGACATGCCTTCATTTATTTACCAAGACAAATAATGAATACAGCACAGCGAGTTGCAGAAATTAGTAGTGGAAAATAACAGCATGCAGCAAAAGCTAAACATATCCTAACAAAAAAGGGCGAAGATATCCTTTTTGGGCATAGTGGCTTAGATCCATTTCGTCCGAGTAAAAAGTAATATCCTGCAGAAATCATGAAAAGTACCAGTCATGGATTAGATTTCCTGTGAAATGAGGCTTCAAAGATGAACTCGGATCATGTGATTTTTTACCAGCAACATAAAGAACCAATGTCACCTGGCATGAGAAACAAAAGTGAAATCACGGCACAAAAACCAAATATAGAAAGTGTTAAACAATTATCTACTCCAAAAACTTAAGCTGCTAGAGAGGGTGTAACTTTAGTATTTATATTTCAACACACTCCCTCATGTGCAAGCTAATCTTTTTGAGCCTAGCACATTAAATTCTTTTAATCATTAGGATGGCGGCGAGATTCAAACACAGAACCTCTTACTTTGATAACTTGTTAAACAATCATTTTACTCCAAAAGTTTAAACTATTAGAGATGGTGCAACTTAAATATTTATACTTCAACAAAAAAGAAACAAAACTGAATGTCTAAACAAATAATGAATCATCAATTTAAGATTTCCTTGTTTCAATGGAAATTATCTGAACCATAGGTACAATCGGTTATGTTTCTTGGATTCAACGAGAAGCGTCATACAATTTTTGAAAATAAATTATGAATTTTTTTTTATAAGTGAAATCAGAACATACAGATGTGAAAATGCTTTATATTGAAAATTGAGGGGTAAACATGAGTGAAGAACTACAAGATACTACAGTTATTAACTGACTCTTCTATTGATCATGAACTGAGGGCAAAGGATGGTGTTGCTTAAGCTTGATAGTAAACAGATTCTGAAACTATCACGATATGTGAATTTCCATGCTATCATGAGAATACAGACCGAGACGTGAACATCTAATCTATATTGGAGACTTTGCCATCACAAACCTCAAGTTTTTAGCATGTTGCAAAATATATCACAAGCCAAACATGGATTATTTAACAGTTCTACTGCTCAGCTAGAAGAGAGAGAACAAAGATTAGAGGATAGGTAATCTATCACCTATCAAATGAAAAAAGTGTATAATTGAAGTGGACCCAGCATACTTGACACGATGTTCAGCAGATAATCCCATGGCTTCTGTTTATACAAACTAAATCGATTTGGAATCTGTTACGGGAAAATCTCAAATCACACTTCTATCCTCCCAAGTTCTGATCAAATGTTATAGGGTTTTGGTGCTTATTATCCTTGTATATCCTACTTCAATAAACTTGACACAAAGAAACAATAGCCTACTATGCTTAAGAGAAGAGAAGGGAGGGGAGGGGGGAAAAAAAGTGTTTTCCTATCAAAGGGTTGTCGTCATGCTCAGTATAATTAGCGCGTAACAACCATTAGACTGGTATTTCCCATCCTAAAATTAATGCATTACCTGAAATGGGCATGCATACTAGTTATTACAATCGTTTTGTATAAGCAGAACTTTAAGGAAGTGATATTGAAGATAAATTTTCCATGTAGTAAAGCATAGAACATTACAATGAAGAAATACGATCAGAGTCAGAAAAGCACCTCCAAGCAAAAGCGGGAATAATATGTAGTTCAAGAAAATAAACACATCCCTAGCACCCAATAATTTGATGCCAAGATTGTGTGGTAAACCTACTCAATAAAATAATGATTCACATTTAGTGATTTAAATTATAGGACAAACTTCCAGAATATAGCCAAAGGAACACACACTTGCATGTACACATACAAAGAACATATTGATCAAAGCTCACCAATTAAAATGATGAAACGAATAATTTTGACATTCAATGGGTTAAGTTTACTAAGAATCCTATCAAAAGAATGACCTTGAATCTGAACACCAAAACTACGACCGCATGCTTGATGATATTCAGTTTATGAATTCAACATTTAGCTTTGGTTAATTAAAGTTGAGAAGAAATTCAAGGCTTTCAAAAGTATTCTTCAAGTTAGAGATCAGTTTTTTGGATATGCTATTCACTGTCATTGGTTCATAAGGGGCCAATCATTATTAAAAACTACTCAAATTTCGCAGACAACTACGAACCAAGGTTATTGACTTATACTGTTGAGTTATCAAAAATTGTTTTTCCAAATGAGGGTAGCATGTAGACTCGTTGCAATTCTTGAATCAGAGATCCAGGAGAGTCTTCAAACAATATGGAGCAAAACCAGCAAAATTAATTTTTCCTCAAATGCACTTTCAAAAAAAATATCACAAATTTGGTTACAAAGTCATGGTGACACAATTCTTGCGCCATCATGAAGCTCTCAAACATAACCACAATTGCAAGATGTGTGGTTGAAGTCATGGTCAAACAACAAATTTTCATAGCCAGATAGTATCAGAAAAGTCCACAAATATGGATCACAACATGTAACTAACAGTATCCTAACCATAACCATGCATTAGTCTTTTGCCTAGATGGTTGTAGAAGTTGGCGAAAGAGATGTTTCAATGTGTGCATAAATAAGGAGTATAGACTAAGGGGTCCAACATTACAGTTGTAAAGGATTAGGAAGACAACGAATTGGGAGCTGAGGAACGTCTTTCAGATATTTTTGCAGACAGACGTGTCACATGTGGGAATCCTTACAGATTGTGTCACTTCAATTAAGTTTAAGCATCTTCATAAATAGGGAGAAAAATAAAAAGAGGCTTTATTATTGAATTAGAAAACTCAATGAGCCTCTCATGCCATGATACTTAATAGTACTATTTACCAGAAAAGCACATTCAGAACGTTAAGTAACAGAAGATGAACTCATAATGGTCATTCAAAACCAACGTGCAAGAACACAGATCAAGACATTGGTATACCAGTTGAAATTGACAATTGTACCCAGATACCACAACTTAATATGTGCTAGAACAAAACAAAAATTTCTTAGTAGTGAAAATGGAAACTTACAAGAAAGCTGAATATGAAAGTTGTTGACAAGAGCTCAAGTCCTCGGTCAGATATCACCTGCAAGCATCATCTAGGTATTATGATTACATCTCTACGAAACCAACTAGCAGCAGTACTGTACAATACATTGTTTTGAGATTTACAAAATGGATGCCAAAAGTGCATCTGTAGATTCAATGTACAATAACGCCTCGCTAGGAACCAGCCAAAACGGTATCTTATAATGCAATGAATGCTGCTAAGTCAGGCAGTGGCCAATTGGACAACCATTCAGACACGATATGTACCCCTTCCAAAACTGCATTATAACAGAACAACAACATACTTGTGGGATGTCCAATAGCATTGGAGTATGTCGCGCAAGCAAAAAGAGACCATCTTAATGTGTCCCAAAAATATGCATTTGAGATTCCCCATTTCATTATTGCCTTTTTCGCCTTCAATAAATTTAGAAATCCCCCTCTTGATTCCTTTCCACATTTAAAGAAGAAAACAATTTGATTGAAGGACGCTATTGTTCTTAAAAAATGTTCAACCACCCCATATGTAGGAGGGAAAAAAACCCTCAAAGAATATCATGTGATTTGATGTGGTATCAAACTCATGCCACACATACATATGGTTGGTCCTACATTGCTTCCAATATATGCAAGTTCATGCACTCTTAAATAATAAGACAACTATCTTGCTAGTGAGTACTACCCCTGAACAAAGATCCACAGACTTGGCCATCCAGTAAACTTCAAAAAATGTAATCTTAGATACACCAGGGTGTCCCTAAGCCATTAAAAGTTGAGTCTAATAGTATTATGACCACAATCACCCTACAAACAATGTGCATTCAATAAGCTCCACGGAGATTCAATCATTAGACACCTGATTTAGGACCCATTGTCACAACCAACTTGAGAGCCCATTGGGTAAAGAAAATCAACTTTGACAACTAAGTATTGGACTTCCAAATATTACTTTATAAGCAATAGTTTTTGGCCCAAAAGCCGAGCCACACAACAGGGATTAGCCCTCCACCCACCCATAACACTTCCCCACCTAGGTGAAACGAGTTTTGATCGCAGGTCCCTACTACACATATATAAAGACTCCCAGCTAAGCTTTTTGAATTGAGAAGTCATTGCCATCAAATTTGGTACACCCCATGAGAAAATTCTGGTTCTCAACTTGATTTTTATAATGATTGCTCATTCAAAAAAAGTTATATTGTGTCTCATCTAATGAACACAGTAAATACATACAGTGGGTGATACGAAATCCATCCGAACCCCAATGCCGAGTAGCACAACCAGCAAAAGAAGCGATAACAAACCTGACGCATTGAAAAAAAACGTAACCACCATAAATTTTGAGAATAACTTTACAGATACAACATAATTCGTACTTGAAATTAAATAGAGGGGAGAGGTGACCATTGCAGTGATAATGGAGTCGAGACCCGTCTGATAAGGTCACTCCCGGAACAGCCTTTCCAGGTAGAATAGATCCAGCAATTGCCAAGTAGATACAGAATGACAATACTGTAACAACCTACTTCACCAAGAGGAAAGGGTACACGCAATAGGATTCATCAGGAAAAAAAAAATTGGATCGAGAATTTAATTATAACTATAATAAGCATGTAGAGAGAATCACGGAAGTGTACTGACCGAGTTCCACGAAGGAACTAGGGCGTTGAGAATGGAGTTCAGATCCATTGGCAGATGTAGAAGATGCAGATTTAAGTCACTCACCCTACTGGAATCTGTAAGTCTAAACAAATTCAAAATTCAAGAAAAATGCCCACTTTCCTCTTCAATCACAGAGGTATTAGTAAAAAAGAAAACGCAAGTGGGGTCGTTGATTTGTCAGTTGGGGGATCATATTCATATCCATACATACACAAAATGCTCAAACACCTCACATGCATTTTATCAAACGCCTTGCATGCAAATCGTCAAACATCTTACATGCATTTTATAAAATTAATATTCATTCAACAATCAAAGTGGACACAAGATGCTTTGAGGGGGCAAAAAAATAAGGGATTAAAAAACCCTAACATCCAAAAACCCTACAAATATTATTGCATGAAATTAACACCCAACATTCAATCAAAACACTAAAAAAATTTACTACAACCCATGTAATGATAAACCCGAATTAACACCCAATTTGATCACCCTAAAATACATTCAATATATAATTTCACAAAAACATCTTTCATAAAAAATTCAAATTTTAATTTCACAAACTCAATTTGTGTGTGACTGTGTACGTGTGTGTTGTGTGTGTGTATGTGGTATGTATGCGTGTGTCGAGTGTTTGTGTGTGTGAAGGAGAGGTGAGAGAGAGAGAGATCACCTGGGTTGAGTGGTCGTCGCCGGTGGGCCGGCCGTTGATGGGGTGAGCTATGGCAGAGAAGAGAATATCTGGAGAGAAACGCAACTGGTTGAGAGAGCAAGAGAGCAGAGTGTGGAGAGAGAGGGGAAGCTGGGTCCTGGGTTGTGTGTGTCGGTGATTTTTGGGGTTTTGTATTAAAATAAAAACAGATGAAATCTGAAGTTGTGCTTTCTCAAATTTATAGGTTCAAAATGGACTATGTTTTCTTATTATTGATGAAATAATAACTTGTTATTTCTTTTCTTTTCTTTTTTTTATAATTATATAATTTAAAATTAATCTTATCTCATTATTTAAAAAAAATTAAGAGAAAAGAAAACGAGAGGACATAAACTACATAACCTGATTTTGGGAAGAATTTTTTCGGTGATATGGAATAAATGCTATTGCTACTTTTGAGTTTGCCCAACTTTGCTCTCGTTGTACATGGACTTCCTAATCGAACTAAGAGGGATTAGGTTGTTAGCTCAAAGAAGATTTGCTCAGAGAGAATAATAATAATCTTTTAAGGCCAAAGAATAAATGAATTTTTTTTCATGGGCATCTTGGTATGGGATTGGATCATCAGCCGTGGTGATGGCTTCGCAAAGGGAACTAGAAGTTTGGTGATAGGTTCGGGCTTTTTATGGTGTTCTACCCTTTTATTTGTTGGTCAATATCTTCACAATTATGGGCTTACGTCTTATGATTTATTTTGATTTTGAGCCATTAAATTGAGTGAATATCAACTACTTGTGCTAAGTTAAGTTGAAGATTCAAAATAAGTCAATTTTATTATATAGATATTTTTGTATTTTTCTATACGAAGTTAGTAGAAATTCTTTTGACCGGCTTCTTTCAATAATAATATTGTTTATTTAGATTAAGGAATGGTGCAAAGGGGCAGTAGTTCCCATCCCGGCTTCCAGACAGATCTGTTTGTTTATGTTTAAATTCCATTTCGAATTATGGTGAGACGCGCAACATAATATCACAGCCCACATTGACAACCCTTTATATACTATCGTCCTCCAACCCTAATATTTCCACTATTTCACTCTTCGCCTCACTCTCTCTTGCTCCCAAAAACCCTATCTCTAAAAACCCTACTTCTCCGACGCTCTCTCATCAGACAATGGAGTTTTGGGGTAATAATCTCTCAACTTGTCTACTACCTCTTTGTTTATTAGGGTTTTCTTCTTCTCTTTCTGCGTGTATATTCTATTACGACGCCGTTGCTTTCATTTCTTGCTGTTCTCTCTGTTAGTGGTTTTGATCATTTTCGGGTTTCTACTGAATTTCTGATCGGCTTTTCTTTTTGCTTATTTTGAGCTCATATTACAAATGTCGAGTAGGCTATGACAAGGATGGTATCGAAGAACTAATCACTTCTTAATATAATTGCTTAATGAGTATGAGAATTGACGACAATTGTCAGATTTGAATGGATATTGAGATTATTTGGGATGAGGATGATGTTTGATGCCATGTCTGAGGACAATTGCATTCCATATGGTGGCATTGTATATCATTTGTGATATGGAGACTGAAACAATGATATATCATCAGAATTCACTTTGGCTGTTACTCTTGATTCGATGTTTGTGTCACATGTTTGAGTTTGAATCTTCCAAATTCGCAGAGTTAAAACTTACTTAACATGATTTGATCAGGTGCTGAGGTCAAAAGTGGACAACCCCTTTCCGTAAAACCTGGGGAAGGCATGATTTTGCATCTTTCACAGGTATGGTAAAAGGCTATAAATTGCTTTCTGTTGACTTATCCATTTTGTTGTGCGTTGTTTCCTTCAGTTTGTGGTGAACTATAAATGATGTTACTCTTCTTCAGGCTTCTCTGGGTGAGGTCAAGGGTACAAAAGGAAATGACTCTGTTTACCTCTTTGTGAATGTTGATGGAAAGAAGATTGTTCTTGGAACACTTTCTTCTGAGAAGTTGCCTCAGCAGCAATTTGATTTGGTATTTGATAGAGATTTTGAGCTATCTCACAGCTGGGCAAATGGTAGTGTCCACTTTTTGGGATATAGAGCTCACAACCCTGTTGACGAATATCCTTTCTTTGTTTTTGTTCTGTTTATTCTTGCCTTTTGTTTTGTCAGTTCTATATGTGGAAATTATATTTCCTCCTGGCCTCTAGTGTTGTATAGATGGGAAGATTTCTAATTTTGCTTGCAGCTTTTTTCCTTGACTGCCTCCTTTTTGGATTGTCACTTCTGAGGATGAGGAGAATTTTGGTAAGTTCTTAACCCTCTCTTTTTTTTAATTGTTTTTGGCCAGTGTATTGACACAACTATTTCTTAGGGTCTGATTCTGAGGACGAGCTTCCTCTCACTTTTGCAAACAATGGTATGGAGAATACATTTTCTTTTTGTATTTCTTAATAATTTATAGCACTGTACTCTGGTTTGTAATTGGGCATTTTACTTTCTAGGAAAACCAGAGGCTCAGGTTAAGCAAGAGAAACCTACCACATCTGAGAAGGCTAATGCAGTGAAGGATTCTGCTGCGGGTAAGCAAAAGGTAAAGATTGTGGAACCAAGTAAAGATGTGAAACCGGGGGACGATGATGAGAGCAGTGAGGAGGATGTGGCTATGTCTGAGGATGATTTTGATTCAGACGAGGTATATTCAATCTAAAATCATAAACTTTATATTCCTTTCTTTTCATTTTAGCATTGCACTTCATAGTTTTGTTTGTATTTTTCTATCAGTTTAAAACAATGTGTCTTGTATGTATTTAACCAAGTTGGGCCCGTTTGGTATCTAAGTCTCTGAAGACACTCCTGAATCTATAAAGCATCTAGTGTCATTGTTTTGTTCTTTTGTTTCTGACATGGAATGTTCTGTTTGGGGTGCTGTATTTGTTTTAAGATGTTAATGCATTAGAGTCACACAAGTGGTGGAGGTTGCTTACAAAATTTATTTGGACAGCCCTCTTGGGTTTGACCTTACACTGGATGCCCATGTCTTCATTCTGTTGTTAAGTGTTAAGTTTGAAATTGTGTATCCTTGTTTTGTTAAAGTTTTAGTAGATGAAATTATCAGTTATATGACAAGTTATGTGTGAACACGGTACTACTTGAGACCATGGTATTACATAGTGTGTTGCTAGATTTCTTTTTTCATTTGTTTTTTTTTTTTTTAATTTTCTGGTGTCATATTGGTCCATGTAGTTGATGTGTGTGCGAAATTGTTGGGGTTGAAATGCATTATTTACATACTGTTACATGTATGATTAAAAAAATACAACTGTAACCATCATGTTCTGTTGGTTTTACCATATTGGATAAGTTGGGTTCGACATGGAACCTTTGCTCAGATTGTGTATGTTTGAAGGTGTATGACTATATGACATGTTATGGTTGACAACAAATTATGTTAATTCTTTGTTGTTGACACTTTGGTTATTGACTTGAAGTTGACAAGAACTATCATTTGCATTCAGGTTGTGAAGTTGTAAATTTTAATTGTGGCTGGATTTTGTGGCATTTCCTGGACACTGTCTTACTGCCTGATATAATCCCTTCTCTAAATTCGCTTATCTTGTTGTTGTCTTTGGTGCAGGATGATGAGAGCGACTCTGCAGGCAATGGGGAAAGCGGCGAAGAGAAAGAGGAGACACCAAAAAAGGTAAGAGTAGTATTTGTCCTACCCTTTTCGCATTTCACAGGAGGAATTATCTAGTCCATATTGTTGGCTAATTGCATATCATAGGATATGGGAATGAATTATCTAGTCCATATTGTTGGCTAAGTTATATGTTTTTTCTGAAGGTTGAACTTGGCAAGAAGAGAGCTGCAGAATCGGCCACCAAGACACCTGCTCCTGATAAGAAGGCAAAAGTGGATACTCCTAAAAAAGCTGGTAATTTTCTTGTTTTTCATTACTATCACTTCTTTTATATGGTGCTTATCTTTTTTTCTCTTCAATTAAGCTTGGATTTTGCTGTCTTTCACTTCCTCACCCTCACTCTCACCCTTGTCTTCTTTTTCCTTTGGATGCTATCCTTGAATTTCTTTAAACTATCACCTCTGGACCTTATTTGCCTGCTTCTGCTGTCTTCTTTGGTTGTCAATTTTCCAGTATTTAAGTTGATGCTCCTGGAAGAGTAGACACATATGTAGTTCTTGATTTCATTTGCCTAGTGGCCTTAGTAACTTACTGTGAAATATTTGGGGTAAAATTCAGCTACCCATTAGTAGGCTGAGTTATTAGAACACATCCCTTGTTTTTCCTGAAATAATGCAAAGAATATGGACACCGACACCCTCTGTTGAAAGTTTGTTTGTTGCTTATAATTTTATATTTTTATCCTCAAAGTATTACATACATGAGACTCACACGCACGCACAAATATAATGAAAAACACCAGTCAGCTTCCTTCACCACTCTTTCTCCCTCGCACACATTTAATCTCCTTGAATGCAGAAAAATTGTCGACAAAAACATTGCAATTATGTGCACCAATTGTGGAAGTTGCATATATATGTATACCATTTGTGTGTGTTTATGTATCAGAGTGAGCACAGATTCTTCTCTCTGTTTGGAGGTTTCTCAACAGTCCCCTCACTCCAACCTTTAACCCCACTCCACATACCCATGCATAGCTGTAATTCCCCTTCTTGCACCAATCCATACTTTTCTCCTCCCTCCATCAATTGACCTTTGGTGTTGAAATTGTGCTGTTGATAAGATGCGGACTTGGATCCCGAAATGTTGAATCTTAAAATTTGAATCCTGGAGTTGATGGGTATGGTGGACTTTTTTGGAAAAGATAGCTGGGTTTTATCAAATTGATGGTGGGTTGAAGAGTTTGTTGTTCATTTTAATCTTTTGATTTCGATTTTTGGTGGTCTCTTGTCATTTTGGTGAATTGTGCTGGTTGTCGTGGTGGAGCTCTATGGTGCATTATGGGTGCACCGAAACTATTGGAAGAGAGAAGAGAGAGAGAGGAGGGGAGGCAGAAGAGGCAGGTGGGCTGGAGTTGGGGGCTGGCAGAAATAGATGAATCAATTGGAGAGGAAGATAATAAATCAATGTCTAACTGACCAAGGGTATTTAGAGTATTACAACAAGAATATTAAATGGCATCAAAGGTTTTTTTATTCCGTTATTATTAATAACCTCCTAATTTTAGAGGTAATAACTGATACAGAGATAATCTTGAGTAGTGTCAGTATCATTACCAAAAATACAAGAGGTGCCTCTGTAACTAGGCCTATCTGCAGGGAGTGTGGCTAAATTTCACCCATCTATTTATGAACAATATTTATGGTACACATTTGAAGTCGTGGTTATCTATGCTACTGGGTTTTTTTTTTTTTTTTTTTTTTTTTGGGGGGGGGTGTAAGTAGTGGTGTTTGTTGTTTGTGGGATATTTATGGTATTCGTTTTTTGGTGCAGATGGCAAGAAAGGTGGTGGTCATGTAGCCACACCTCACCCTTCAAAACAGGCTGGGAAAACTCCCGCTAACAAGTCAAATCAGCAGACTCCGAAATCGCCTGGATCAGTTCCCTGCAAGTCTTGCAACAAGTATGTATCTATTTTATCTTTTGTCGTTTCCTGTTCCTTTTGTGCTTTAAAAAAGTAATGGAAATTAGAGCACCATGATGCATTTTGCTTCCAGGACGTTTGGTTCAGAAAAAGCACTAGAATCCCACACGAAGGATAAGCATTCTGCTGGAAAGTAATAGGAGTTTAAAGAAAGGCTGGCTATTGGTAGATTTTTGGTGGTTCAGCGCGTTGTAAAGGCATGAGGTGGTTTGCTAGGTTTTGCTTTAAATATCCATCCTGTTTCGGAGTGAACTATTTCTGGGTGTACTGACTGAAATTCTACCGGCATGGGTTTTTGTCGTGTCTCTTGTTCCATGTTTGTTTGATCATGAACTCGCTATAACTATTGATATCCTTAATTCTCCATGTCCAACTTTGCTTTATTCCTGATTATAAAAGTATATTTTGAATACCGTTAGATTCATAGAATTGTGGATTTGTTTAGGAAATACATTCTCATCAGATGACAGGACGATGTGAGTGAAGTATTGTACTGTTACATCGATAAGCTGAAAGTTGAAACAAGAAGTGTTGGTTTTGGAAGTATGTACCCATTGATGTGCCATATATCAGCTTGCTTTAGTTTATATGTTGAAATTAAGAGCTGGCCAAACTCTGACAAATTTTTGGTAGGAATATGATCTTAGAGATGCGGCTGGCTGTCGTTATATGCCGTACCTGATCCAAGCTAGTCGGATTGCAGGCAGGTTGCAATTAATGTGGGTCTAACATTAGATTATTGACAATAATCAAACACTAAATAAAAGATCATTATGATAATTAAAACTCGGGTGTTTCATTATTAGTAACGAGATGTCCATTCTCAATTAAGATTATTGTCATCCAAATATGTCCTTAGATTGATTGGCTTCACATAAGTTCAATAGGATGGCATATACAACTAGAAAGCTAGTACCTGGCTTTCCACTTTGGAATGCATACATACTTGCATTTCACAACTGCCAAACTGCAATGAAAATATTAGCAGGCTGGGTCATTTACTCCAAATGTGAAGAACATTATGGTTGGTAAAAACATAGCACAACATTTGGCTAAATAAAATGTTTGATAAGCAATGTTGCCTCTTCTATACGATGACATAATTAAACCTATTTTCCCAGAAAAGACTTGGCACTCAAGATCTCCATAGCCAATAAACTCTGGCCACCTCATCACTTCAGAAGTTGGGGATTTTTCCCAGTTCTTACACCACGTAACATGTAAACCCTGTAAACTTGATCTGCAGCCGAGACAGCCGACCTGTATACAAATATCATTGTGAGCTGCATACAAACGAGGCTCTATCCCTGGATGAACCTGCAAACTTGTGAGTTGTAAAATGTGAAAGTTCACAGACCCCCCTACAAAAAGGGTTAAAAATAGTAATAATGGAAGCAAAACTCCTCCATATCTCTGTGCAAATGGATTATCCACTCTCCTATAGTGCATCATACTTGTGCTTTGTTTGATACGGTGAAAAATTAGAATGATAGAAAGTTAGAAGGATAAAAAGTTAGAGGAATAGATAAAACATTATGTTTGGTAAGGAAAAAAAATAGGAAGAATAGAAAAGTGGATGAATGAACTTTCTTTCTAACTCACCAAAATTAATCCCTAAAAAATTGAAAGAAAAGTGGGTAAAAAATTAATTATTTGTGTTGAAATATTTCTTATGTCTAAATATCCTTTGATATATATATAATAAAAAAATATGTATTTATACATTTTTTTAAAATAACTTTAAAATAAAAATTTATAAAAAATAAAAAATAAAAATAATTTTTCATCTTATCAAACACCAAAAAAAAAAAAAATTAATTATTTTTATTTTTTATCTATCCAACCACACAAAGAAAAGAATGTATATCATTCTTATTTTCTTTCCTTGGAGGATAAAAAATATATCCCTGATACTTTCCATTATTTCTACTAAATGGAGCATTGGTCTCGAAATGGGATGATGAGGAAAACTTAAAACAATTATATGACCAATATCTTAAAACTCTATCTTAAACCCGATGAAACAATTATGTGAAAATACTGTATTTTTTTGCTGGTAAGAGAATGCTCACCAAAACAAAGATGTTAAAAAGTAATCCCAACCAATGAACACTCTTTCCACCATGCTCCAGAAGTTATTCATCCTGATCAATATGCTACATAGCATGCACTTTCAGTACATGCCACCATTTTTATAGAGTATAAAAACCATTTTTTTTGTTTTTAACACTGGAAACAATCGACTCGCGCAATGTAAGGATGAGCATGGGTAAGCAAGTTGAGTAGTATCATTACTTCGGAGTTTGGACAAATATTGGTTAAAAGTGTTGGCATAAACACGCTTATAAAATCTGCACACACTAGGACAAGATGAATTGAAGAAATGTATCTCATGGCGGGCAATGCAGGGGAGTAGCTTAGGAAAAGGTAAATAATGGAGAAGAAGAAAGGTATAAATTTTTTTTCAGGGTTCACATTTCACAATGGATGCATACAGATTCTAAGTTAGTCCCCTCTGTCTACCCTCATTAAATCCAATGTTCAATAGCTGTTACGATATCGGGGGAGAGAAAGAAGGAAAAGAGTTTTTGCATTTTTCAATATCATAGGACAGTGTACCTGTACTCCACCTGCATAGTGGAAAATGGGCAGTAAGCCAAATTTTCCAAATGGGCCGTTTTTGCAAAAGAAAATTTGCATTTCGCTTTCAAAAGAAGAACCCAAGCTGTATCAATCAAATAAGAGCATGGGAACAAACCGGACAATGCCACTTAGATTAGTTGTAACCTACATGCTCTGGCTGGTGGTGCTCCTGATAAAGGTCATAAGACTGTTCACCATTCTGCTCAATGCCGTTGCTTGGGCTATCATTATTAATGTTGCTAGTTTCATTCTTGGTCTCAGATTCTGCCTGTTCCCTTTCCCTATTCCATTGCTCAATTTTTGCCCTTCTCTCAGCACTGGACTCCTATTTCTCCTTACCCCAGGGCTTCTGCTTCATCCTCCCTTGCGTCCTGGACTTCTGCTTCTAGGTCCCCTACCCTGATCATGGTGGCAATGATCTCTGACATCACATCTTCTACCAAAACTGTGGCGCCACCATGTGAATCTTCTTCATAGTTGTGATGGTGACGAGGACTATGGCTTCTGCTTCGGCTGTGCCATCACCTATTCCTCCCAAATAAATGCCACCTTAGGCAAAAACAAATGCATCACTCACCAAATTATAGGGTAGCAAGGCCAGAGGCAGGATATGAAACAGGAAGGAATTATGCTCAGAAACTCACCTACAAGTGGTTTCTCAAAAATCAGTCACCAGAAACAAGTCGACAAGAATGAGTCCCCCTGCAAATTTTCAATTTTCAGAGGGTCAGCTGGAGTGTAACTAATGATATATGTCTACCACGACATCATTACTCGTACAACTATTACTACAAATCTAATTATTAGCAACACCAGTAAACATGCAAGAGAACAAAAGATCAACAAGAACTTGGACATTTAGCACACTTCCTGCAATAAGTCCTGCTCCTGGAATGGCCCAAAACCTACCATAAGAAAAGTACACACTGATATTGAAAAGATATCATATAATAATTTTTACCATGAATTTCCTACCAAGAAGAACATTTGGTAGAAAATTTCCATTCTGAAACATTCCAGTTTATAGGCTACATTACACGGATTAGGTGCACAAAACTACCCCCATTCTTCCCAAGAAGAAAATGTTTGTTGGCATTGTTCACGCTAGGCTCATTTAAAAAATGAGTCGAGCCCGACCTAAGACCAAAACAAGTGGAGCCCGAGCTAATCTTGAGTAGCCCGACTATTTTACATATAAACAAACCGAGCTTTGTGAACTCGAGCCGAGCGTTTTATGCTCATTTTTCTAAATGAGCCTAAAAAATTGTTCAACAACGACTCTTTTAAAACACGAGCCAAGCTCGAGTCGAGTCCTATACTAGTCGAATCCAAGCCTAACCCGAGTAGTTCGGCTCGATTATCAACCCTACTAATATTCAACACTTCTTAAAGCGCTAACTCATCTATGTAGCTATATTTGTTCTTAGAATGCGGAAAGGAATGCATATGTCATATGTGTTATTTGCTGAGTGCACATTATCAAACCATTTATGCCGGCGTCACAGTACACACTGACCCCAAACCAGTGTTTGGATGGTTTCGGAGATTGGAACAATGCCTGTAGTGCTGATTGTTCCATAATCCATAAGTGGAACTGCAACAAGACTAAGGTAAGCTATGTGTAGGCTTACATGGACTACACAGGCTGCATCCAGGTATATAGAAGTGCAATATCTGTAATCTTTTGAAAATAGACAAGTAAATCAATCTAATTGTGTTAAGCCATAGATATGGTTTCTAAGGCTCCTGCCTCCATCTTCATTTGAAAAGCTATGGCTAATTAGATTTTAGTTTCTTTCTAATATATTATGTTTCTTCTAGAAAATTTACAAATGTTACGGAAGCAAAAAATAAAATATTTTAGAGAGAAAACTTTAGTGTTCTGAAATAAAAGTGTAACATGTTTCAGAACATTCATATCAAATCACGATTTGCTAGGGTATTAGTGTTTTCAACTATCTTAAACCCAATCAAGACACCCTAGGCAACTTATTGGGGTGCCTATGGTGTATTCCCAATTCAATTGAAACTCAGTTGATAAAATCAATCAATTGGCAATGGACAACAAAACATCCCCAGGGAAAAAAAAAAAGAAGTCTAATCCTTCAAACGTGCAATCAAATAGTGTAATCCAACACAGCTAATGAATGACACAAGCAAGCATCAACAGATGTAGAGTGAAAAATCTCCATCTTCATGCCAAGTTTGACATCTCTTATAAACCAACAAAAACCACTCAAACTCTGTCACATAGGTCTCGCCATTAAACAATAAACAACCTCCATGGTAAAACTATTCATATCTTTAGTACTCCCTAATTCAAACTATTAATGCTTGACCATGATTCAAGGTCATGGCATCGCGCAATATCGGTTGATACAACTACAACCTAAAAGAAAATATTGATCATAACGAGAGATTCAGGTCATACTGTAGCGTCATAGAACCATATTGGCCGATTCGGTGACAATAACTCAGCAACTCCAGATTAACTCGGATACAACTCGAATGACTTGGTCTAACATATCATGTAACGGTATAGTCTCAGAAGGTGTTGAGTCAAATAAAACTTGACGGACTCATATCAATATCGACCAATACCAATACCATGTACTTGACAAAGAAATTTTTACGCCATCAAAAAATTATTCTCACTGCTGACAAGTAGAAGATATTTGGTAGGAGAAGCCAATGGGAGTGATGAAATATACTCATTTATGTGCATCTACATTCTAGTGTTTCTGTGAATGCATACAAATAGGCATGATGAGGAAATGACTAGAACTAGCCTGCGTAAAACCTTCCACTTAGACTCTGAACTGCATTGGCAGCAAGTTCCTCCTCTCTAAACTGGACGTACACATTACCCACCTGGATCAACAGAAGACATATCAAAGTAGCGCACAACACAAAGACAAGAATCACAAAATAGACATGAAATTAAGGAAGGCAATACCATGTGATCAGCTGAATTATCACATATGTTTACGCTCTCATCTCTCCATAGATGCTCAGCTCCTCAAACATATCTTCATAAGAATCCTGCATCGCACCAATATAAGTTTGCAGCTTCAGACCAGATCAAAGCATATATTTGCATCAAAATTTTTAGAAATAACAAAGACAACAGCTAAAAAATAAGTAAATTTAGCATTAAGTTGCATAAATTTTCCTATAGGTTTATTACACAGCATAATGTTACATAAAACCCAGTTTTGTCCCCGTTAGCAGATATTGGTAGGAGAACATAACATTTTGAATTATTCGCAAAAAGTGGTAGCAGCTCACCGTCGCTATCCAGAAGATTTTACCAACTTTTACATGCTAAATCGGTACCAAGTTCAATTTTCTTTTACCTTTTTTTTTTTTATAAAACAGTTTCTAGCAAATAAAGAGATGTAAAATTCTAATATCACAATCAAATCATCAGTTACCTGAATAAATTTCTCTAAAATGTGCTCAAATCATTTTGGAGCATAGTCCCTCAACCAATAAAGAACGGGAAAAAAAAAGAGTTAATTGCATTAGAGGTCTTCAAAGTATGAAATCTGTCTCATTTTGGTCCTTAATATTTCAATTGCATTATTTTAGTCTCTGAAGTATTGAATATGTTTCTATATGGTCTTTCAAGCAGATAACATCCAAATTGTTAACAATTTTTTATCATAAACTTGTACGTAATAGCTAAAAATATGGACAAAAAATAATTTTGATAGCTCTTAAACAAAATTTAGATAGCTCTTGACCAAAAATGTGTAATATTGGTAGTTTTTGACTAAAATTTGGATAACTCATGATCAAAATTATGTAATTTAGGTAGATATTTAACCAAAATTTGAGTAAAAATTTGGTCAAAAGTTATCCAAATTATTTTTTTGTTCATATTTAAGTATCATTTGGCAAGTTTATGATAAAAAATCGTTAACAATCTGGACACTGTCTGCTTTGAGTACCATATAGAAATATATTCAATACTTCAGTGACTAAAATAATGCAATTGAAATATTGGAGACCAAAATGAGATAAATTTCATTCTTTAGGACCTCCAGTGCAATTAATTCAAAAAAAAAACCATATACGCTAATTAAACCTCGATGTAGATATAAATATGTACTAGGAATAAACACCTCGAATTTTGCGAGGATCGATCATCTCCGGGCGCTGATACATGTCGGAGAGTTGGGATGATGCTGAGCTTGGTGTGGAGCCTCCAGCATCGATCGCCATGCCTGCAAGCACCGATCTTGAAGTAGAAAGGACATTTCACTCCGAATATCCTCACCAAGTACTCCGCCATTTGCAATCGATCGAACTCATTTTGAACACTTGTGATCTAGGGTTTTCAGAGCTCCGACTGAATTTAGCCATTTGCAGGCGAGTCGCAGAAAATTGTTAGAGGAGGATATGATCGAAAACCCAAAAAAAGAAAAAAAAGAAAAAAAAAAAAAAAAAAAGAGTCTCAAAAAGTAGCTATATCACTTTTTGAAAGACCTTTACATCAAAGCTGGTTTGCCCGAGAGGTTAAGGGGGAAGACTTAAGATCTTCTGCACATAAGTGCGCATGGGTTCGAACCCCATAGCCAGCAGTTTATTACCTTTTTTTATACTTTTGCGGTTTTGCCTTTCTTTTCCGAGAAAATAATACTAAGCCCGGCTTGAAGCATAGTTTTTAAACCCGGTTCGGACACCTACTTGACAAAGGGACCGGGTCAATGAGTTAGTGGTTTAACCGTGGGTCAATCGGTCGAATCGGTCATATAGTTAATAATAAATAATAATAATAATAATAATAAATATGCTAAAAAATTATAATAATTACAAAAATAACATATTTTATGTTATAGTAAATGAAATAAATAGACAAAAAATATCCTCAAATCATTAATTTGCTTACATAATTGATATAATTTGACCAAGCATAAAATAATGGGTTAATCTCATTTTGCACTTCAAAAAATTGCTCGAATCTCAATTTGCACCTTCAAAGATCAAAAATCTCAATTTACACCCTCAAAAATAGAAATTTGTATCAATATGCACCCCAAAGATCAAAAATTCTCAATTTACACCCTCAAAGATAGAAATTTATATCAATGTGCACCCCAAAGATAAAAAATCTGAATTTGCACCCTCAAAGATAGAAATTTGTATCAATGTGCACCTAAAACTAAATTGATAAATTATACCTAAATCCCCTCATACTTGTCACTTAATCATTTAGACCTCTTCACATTTAGAATGCTACTCCTACATCTTATGACATTTGTGCACGTATAACACGTAACCCATTTTCATTGATATCTATTAATATAACCGTTAAAAAATATAATTTTATCCTAATAAAAAATTATAATTTCATATTACCATTTATTTTATGGGTTCAATATATTCTAAAGTTCAAAATCTAGTTTATTATTTGAATGTCTAATAAAATATAATTATTTATATAATATTTTTCATATTACCTTTTATATAAATATCTACATTTTATTAGACATTCAAATGATAAGCTTGATTTACAATTTTAGAGTATATCGAATCCACAAAATAAAAGGTAATATAAAATTATAATTTTTTATTAGGATAAAATCATATTTTTTAACGATTATATTAACAGATATCAACGAAAAGTGGTTATGTGTTACACATGCACAAACGTCGTGAGATGTAAGGGAAATATTCTAAATGTGAAGGAGTTCAAATGATTAAGTGACAAACATGAGTGGATCTAAGTATAATTTATCAATTTAATTTTAGGTGCACATTGATACAAATTTCTATCTTTGAGGGTGCAAATTGAGATTTTTGATCTTTGGAGATGCACATTGATACAAAATCTTTGAGGGTGCTATCTTTGAGGGTATAAATTGAGATTTGAACAATCTTTTAGGGTGCAAAATGAGATTAACCCTAAAATAATTCACTAAAAAATATTAAATATTTATCATAAATAGTAATAATATGATGCCTAAAAAACCAAAAGAAAAATTGATAGAAAAAACAATAACAATTTAAGTGCACTACCTATCCCACGTCAAAAACTCGCAGGGAGTTATGAGGACTATTTGCCTAGGCACTTCTTTAATTCTTAGTGCTGGTGGTCAAAACTTGCTGGCAGTTTATTTGAAGTTTGGTTTGAATATTTTATGTTTGAGCCTTGAAGTTAAATTTTAATATTTTATGTTTGAGTTTTAATATAAAAATAGATTTGTGAAAATCAGACCAGTTTGCACGGGTTCATGAAAAGTAACCGATTTAAGCCTGTTTGAACAGTTTTCGAGCGGGCCATTTATTAGACCGATCCAATTAAAAAACTGGCCCGACTCAGACACGATTCATCCATTTTCTGGGTTGATCCGTCAGACCGGGCCGGGTTTTAAAACACTGGGTGAAACCCCCTCCCTCTTTTTTTGTCTAAAAACACGGTTACTTTATATTTTTTTTTTAAAAAAAGAAGTATTTCTATCAATGCTTTGAGATCAATATTTTTTTTTTACTTCAAAAATAATGAATAAAGTTGGTCGAATATTTAAATTTGCACTCGAGTTCATTTTAGAGGTAAGGCAATATATATGATGGTTTTGAACCCAGAAATCAGAGCCTCGTGCATTACGTGTAATATTTTTTCTTTGAATTTAATTTTTTTCCTTTCTCAAGATTTGAGGGGGAAAATTGTTCCAAACGTAAATGCATTGCCACTATTGAGCTCTTCGGGTGCATATATTAAGTGATGTTAACCATTGAATATATTAATGTTGTATTTGATACGTGGTATTAGGTGTCAGGAATGGAACGGACATTCCATAGTAACACTTATTCTAATATTTGATTTGAAAGATTTAAAATCTATTCTCATTTCAAAGTAATATTAAATTCTACAAATCATGAAATTAGCCATTATTAAATCTACCATGGTATTTCCCATTCCAGCCCACACAAAAATTTCCAATGCTAAGGAAAAATAGGTCACACTTGAAGATGTCGGGTCGGTTAAGTGTATGGACAAAAGGGATCTGATTAGATAAACCTGGTCATCCAATATCCATTCATGTGACTCTTGGATTAATTATAAAGTTAATGTCTCATTATCCCATATTTATTTCAAGCATTAAAAAGTAGTGGGCCTTACATTTATTCTATCTAATGCTTTATTTGGATCGAATATTGAATGATAGTACAATCATTAAATTGCTAAAGAACTCTCAAAATAAAGAATGATATTATATCATTGAAATTATTGAAGATAAAAGAATATTTTGCTTATATACATCCCAATCAGATTATTTAAACCCACCAAAAAAATTATTTTATTTAAGAGACTGTAAGTGATATTAAATATACTATTCATCCAAGACAATATTATTCCTACATGATAATACCAAACTCAAAATGTGTATCTAAACATGAATATAGGAGTGAGAAAATAAACCCAATATTATTTTTTCCAATCCGTTGCGACGGTGCTCATTTGAGCGTCGGGGAACCAACTCAACAAATAAGAAAATGATGACTCTCGGGACATTTGAGAATGATTCGGATTGTATGAAAGGAAACTCTAATGTACATTTTTTTGGGTTAATTACAAATTACATTTTGAAATATCGTTGTAATCTTAATTTGTACCTTCAAAAATTAAAAATCTTAATTTATACCTTAAAAGATAGAAATTTGTATCAATGTGTACTTAAAATTAACCGTCGTCAGTTTGCTGCCTAAAACTAAATTGATAAATTATATTTAGATCCCTTCACATTTAGAATATTACTCTTACATCTTATGATGTTTGTGCACGTGTAACATGTAACCCCTTTTCGTTGATATTTGTTAATATAACAATTAAAAAATATGATTTTATCCTAATAAAAAATTATAATTTTATATTATCTTTTATTTTGTGAGTCCAATATACTCTAAAGTTTAAAATTAAGTTGAATGTCCAACAGAATAAAGGGTTGCATATTGAGTGATATATTGCATTGGATATAAAAAAATATTATATAATAATACAATGTAAAAAATATTATATACATACCTACATTCTATTGGACATTCAAATAATAAGTTTGATTTTGAACTGTAGAGTACATTGGATTCACAAAATAATAGGTAATACGAAATTATAATTTTTAACAGTTATATTAACAGATATCAATGAAAATGGATTACGTGTTATACGTGCACAAATGTCATAAGATGTAGGAGTAATCTAAATGTGAAGGGATCCAAATGATTAAATGACAAACATTAAGGGATCTAGATATAATTTATTAATTTAATTTTAGGCAACAAACTGACGACGGTTAATTTTAGGTGCACATTGATACAAATTTTTATTTTTGAAGATACAAATTGAAATTTTTGATCTTTGGGTGTGCACATTGATACAAATTTATATCTTTGAGGGTACAAATTAAAATTTTTAATCTTTAAAGGTGTAAATTAAAATTTAAACGATGTTTTTAAATGCAATTTGTAATTAACCCTTTTTTTTTTATTGCGTGGTGGGGTTTTTTTTTTCTTTTTTTTTTTTTTGGGGGGGGGGGGGGGGGGGGGGGGGGGGGGGAGCATCCTTTACCTTTATAATTTAAGCTAAGCTGCCATCGAATAAGTGATAGCAAAAAGAGTCAATAGGTAGTCTAATGACCATCACCTTCGCTGTTGCACCTAAAATCACAAGTTCTAACCCCATCAGACCCCTCTATTGTAATAGTGTGTCTGACCAAAAAAAAGACTTCAGATTTTGCGCAAAACGAAAATCTTTTTATAGAAGCAAACATCCCATTTTCTAACAAGGGATAACATATCTATCAGCCCTTAGATGAGAAAACATGCAAAGCCGTCAAAAAACTTCAGTTCTGGGCTGCTAAACCTTGGAACAAAAATTTAGTGGCAATTATTAGAAAAGGGGCTCAGGTCTCCACAAAGTGACCATGTTACAAAAAGATTTATTCAGTGCAAGTACACACTCCATTCTGCACTAACAACTACTGCTGATTCAATACATCAGTATGGTTCAACAGGCGTGCGGAAGCTTGCTCCTGCATAAACTGCTTCTGAACCAAGTTCTTCTTCAATTCGCAAGATCTGTATGACATAAATGAACATCAGAAAGCATAACAGCTCGTGCACGTCACATTTTCTGAATTCAAAACCAGCATAAAATAGGTGGTGCGTGTGAGAAGACAAGAATCTCAACCTGATTGTATTTTGCAAGACGCTCAGACCTGCATGGAGCTCCAGTTTTAATTTGACCCTGGCAAGTGAAAAACCATCAATAAGCAATGTTAAGTATAGTAGTTGAAATGAAGATCCACTATATCTTAGATTCTGAATCAAGAATTACCGTGGCCAAACCCACAGAGAGATCAGCAATAAAAGTATCCTCTGTCTCTCCACTGCAACCCAATTACCAAATAAAATTATTTTATCGGAAACTCAAATTCTGAAAAAATGGTGCAACAGAATGGATTAAAATGGTATCTACTTGGGTTTAAGGTTCATTGTCATACCTGCGGTGGCTGGCCATTACACCCCAACCAGCCCGCTTGGACATTTTAACAGCTTCAATGCTCTCAGTTACAGACCCAATTTGGTTAACCTATTGTCATATTAATACATATGAAAGAACAATCCAATTAATATCTGACATGTAAATGGAGATCAAAGTTTCAATGCTTTATTGAACATTCAAAGACTTCAATGATACCTTGAGAAGGAGTGCATTGCAACTTTTCTCCTTGATTGCCTTCCCAACCCTCTGTGAAAATATATCGAATGCTTATAAAAAAAGAGCCATAAAATTATCAAGGAAACTTGTACGCAGTTAGCCTCCTAGTTCCATTAACTCTTCCTAATCAACATATCTGAACAGGGAAGACTACAATACTAAAGGAAAAAAGAGACAATCTCACCTTGGGATTGGTGACCAATAGGTCATCTCCCACAATTTGTACTTTTTCCCCAATTTCAGCAGTTAGCTTGGCATAATGTTCCCAGTCATCTTGGTCGAATGGATCTTCAATTGAAGCAATCGGGTACTCAGACACATATGACTTGTATAGATCCTTAAGCTGGTCCCCTGAAATCTTCTGTGACCCATCATTGTTCTGTACAAAGAAGCAAAAAAAAAGTTACATGATAGTACATCAACAAATTCTGTTAAATAGAACTAGCTAATTATTCTGAAAATTGTATCTGAGAGAGAGAATATTCGTATAAAATGTGGGCGTATGCATCTTAGAATTTAAATGATATACTTTTACCTAAAAACATGAGCATGCCTTTTGCGTGAAATCAGTTCATTGTGCATTGCTTGGACTTTAATAGTATACATGTGTTTGTTACAAGAGGCAGGTGGTGAGGTGACTTTGTCACATGGCCTTTGAAGATGATTCCCCAATTAGACTGAAAACTATCATGAACAGGTTCTACTCCTTGGTGTTTGATCTATAGAATGCAATGACAATGGAACACATTTACATATGACGATGTTTTACTTGATAATTAGGACATTGATGGAATTCTTTAGTGACACATAATCAGTGGATTTTCTGAAGCTAATTATTTGAACTTCAAAATTCAGGAGGTTAATGGGTTAGTGGTTTGGTTCCAAATTCGATCAGTTTTGAGTACTTGATTTGGTTCCAAATTCAAGTGTTGCAGTCGATTTGAGCTAGATTTAACAATCAAATATAATAGAAAACTCACCTCTTCTTTGAAGTTCAGATCATAGGTCTTATCTGTTCCATAAAATTCAGATGCAGCAACATCCATTCCGATAACAATCTATACAGAAGGAAATTCTCAGCTCGACACAAACTTGTAAACAAAATATATATATATATATATATATATATATATATATATATATATTTGGCGGAAGAGAGAGAGAGATAGAGGAGAGAAAACTCACTTTTCCCGTGTAACCGGCTTTGGCAATGGCTGTCTTAAGCAACTCAAGGCCTTCCTTGTTCTCCTGCTCGTTCATAAAACATAATATTGTGAATAAAATATTGAATGCATTATTTTTGGAGAGAGAGAGAGAGAGATCAAATGATATGATAAAACCACGTAAGACCTGAATATTTGGAGCAAAGCCACCTTCATCACCAACATTGGTTGCATCCTGACCGTATTTCTTCTTAATCACAGCCTGAAATTAGACAATAGGGTTACCGAGATGCAGACACCTTACAGCAGTTTCACTTGCCAATGCAAAAATATCAAAACAATAACCAACATGCACTACCTAGACAGAGGTTTTACATATTGGAAGTGGCTAGTGGAGCCCAAACCCACAATGGACCAACTAGTCAGAAGTCCTTGTGTCCCAACTCGTATGGAGAGTAATATCTAAGCAAGAGTATTTTTAGTAGAAATAATTTGAAGTGCATAAGTCAATCTGACATAGCAATACGCGATTCAAAATGCAGAAAGCGGGCCAACCAATTAATCATCAAATCTGATTAGCACAGTCAAAAGACTCATTTCTGAATTTCTTAGATGGCACCCATTGTAGCGAGAATTCCAAAATCAGGGATGGACACATTCCATCATCATGATCCTGTACAAGGGGATATTAACCTAATTGCAATATACCAAATCTAAAAATTCTAAAGAATGAACTAGGTAACTTCCAAGTTAGTCCCATAACAAATCATTTGAGATTGGCCAGATAATTGATATAACAATGATAAAGCTACAACCCCATGTAGATGGGGAGGGAGGGGGAGTGGAAGGAGAAATTTTAACCCACCTTCAAGTGGTGGTATACTTCCACACCCATCTTCATGGCCTCCTTAAACGTGGAAGCTCCAACAGGAAGAATCATAAATTCCTGCAACAACACATGAATGTCATACTTTTGGTGTGAAATTCAAATTCAAAAAGCATCATGAGCACCAAAACATGTACGGTATATCAAGAGACATGCCTGCATAGCGAGTTTGTTTCCTGCATGTGATCCACCATTGATGACATTGAACGCAGGAACAGGCAATACCAACTTCTTGTTGCCGGCCAGGTTGGCAATATGCTGCGTGCAGAAAGAATGGTCATTTAGACCTTAGTTTTCAAATGCACAGACAATTCCTACAAATTGATTCCTAAGTTTCGCGGGACTCCTATAAAGAAACTGAAGTTCCCAGCTACAGAAGGAAGGCAGAGAGGCCTGTATTAAATGCAGGCATCTACGATGGTGCCTGATTCAGTGACATCAGGTTGGTAAAGGGTTGTCCTCATATTACTTTAGAGAGATTAAGAAACACCCAAGTCAAAACTTCATCTAGAAGAGCCAACAATCTATGCGACTAATTTTTCCACAGAATCAGGGAACCAGAAACACAATTCCTGTGCAATCTATCTACACTAATCATTGGTAATATATATTGATATCTTATTCAAATATAAGACCCTAAAAATTTTGGGATAAGGTTTTATTGAGTTGAGTTGTATTTTATTTAAATGTAAGCTTAAAAACACAATTATATTTTCAGTAGAAACTTGATTATTTTCAAGATGGAATCACTATTTTTACCTGAAACTGGGCATGATTTTGTTTCATTCAATTACGTTGCATTTGTGGGATGGGAGTGTAGGCAACATAAAGAGAAAATGAAAGGTAAATCCCTGAAACTTTTCAGGTTTTACATTTTGTGATTTGTTCATAAGGTGTTTCGGTTTTCTTACTAGGTATTTATGAAAGGTTTTATTCCCAAAATTGTCGTTCTTTTTAATTTTACTTTCTTTTGCTTACTTTATGAGGGTTACAACTTACAAGTTCGACTTTTCTTAGTGGCGAATGGGGTAATGGCTAGGAAGCACGGATACTTCCCACGGGAGTGCCGTGGCAATATCAGACACGTGTCCGACACGACTAGAAGTGTCCTGAATAGTGAACTCAGTTGGACACAGTCAGAACATGACCAAGAATTTTTTTATTAAAAAAATAATTTTTAACTATTAAAAATTTATTTTTTTAATACATTTTTTGTTACGTAACTTATATATTATGAATGTTAATAAATGTAATGATGTTTGATGAAAATAGTGGATATTTAATTTGATCTATTTCAATTTTAATCAAAAAAATAATATTTACTAGGTCTTATTATTAATATTGTTATAATATATGATTTATTTTTAATATATTACAACTCTATTATTATTTAAAAAATATATTATATTATTTTAATAGCCGTATCCTTATCGTACCCGTGTCTTATATTTTATAACTTTGTCGTATCCTCGTGTCCGTATTATATCAGATACGACACCCGTGTCCGTATCCATGCTTCCTAGGGTAATGGTTTGTTATGTTGCTCATTTGCGACTTTAATAGGATAATCAAGAATGACACACTTACAAAAATGGCACATGGGCTTCCTTTCAATGATTAAAGAAGGCTGACATATTAACCATTGTACATCATACACACAATAAATCTATGATAAGAAATATAAGTACTCTATTGATATTGTTGGTGGTTTGTAAGTAGCTTGAACAATACTTGCCTAAATCCAGTGCATTGCACAGATTAGTGCTAGTTCTGCAGCTTGAAAAAATTATAACAGAAACAAAAAGGAAGGAAGAAAATGAGCACAGTACCAGATGAAAAACATGACTGTTACATACCTTGTAAAGAGGGATATTCAGGACACTAGCACCAGCTTTGCAGACAGCAAGAGACACTGCCAAGATGGCATTTGCTCCAAGCTGAAAAAACACGATTGCCACACAGGTGATTTTCCTTCATAACTAGTAGGTGGAAGTACACAAAATCAATCCACCAAAATACCTTTTCCTTGCACCAGCCCCACTCATTTTGAGTTCCATCAAGTTGTTGAACCATAAAGTTATCAATACCAGTCTGATCAGTTGGGTCCTGCAAACACAATAAAAATTCACTTCATATGGAGGAACCTATCAGTGTGAATTAGAGAACATCATTTAAATTGTCCTTTGTCACTCCCAGCTCCAAATTCAAGTAACTAAAAAAAAGATTGAATCAGTTCATACAAAATCCATACTGAATTCTCCAAAAGAACGTTGAAAAAGGGAAGTTGATGAAACCAACCTTGCCAATGAGAGCAGGGCCAATAATTGAGTTGACATTATCAACAGCCTACGTTAGCAGAAGATGGGTAAACCAGATCAGTAATCTGTATTTGAATTTCATGTGGAAAAACAGAATGAATTGCCAAGCAACAACTTGCCTTAGAAACACCTTTTCCAAGGTAGTCTGACCCTCCATCTCTCAGTTCAAGGGCTTCATAAATTCCTGAAAAAAAAAAACAACAGTCAAGCAAATATAAAAACACACACTCAAAAACTTAAGAACATGCAAACGAACATGATAACCATAAATCCTTCATTAATCCGCCTTAGACTATATGTGATGCAATTCCCATATTCATGAAAGCATTCAAAGAAGAAGTAAACCCAAAAAGGACAACAATCAAACAGGTGAAATCACTGAAATACATAGCTTGAATAAAAAAATAAAGAGATCTTACCAGTGGATGCCCCACTTGGAACAGCAGCTCTTTCCTTTTTTCCGTTTGATAGATGCACATCAACCTACATAGATGTAAGCATACCCACAAATCCTATTAGTTGGAAACTCAATCCGTGCATGACCCAGAAGTTGTAAACAAATCAAAGAGGTTTTGACACAGAAAAAATGATCTACGGTAAGAAATTGAAAGAAAGATCAGAATATGAGATCAAACCTCGACTGTTGGATTGCCTCTGCTGTCGAAGATCTGACGTGCCTTCACGAACTGTATCGTGGCCATGGCGTTAGTTCAGATCTGCTACTGGCTTAGAGAGAGAGAGAGAGAGAGAGAGAGGAGAGAATAGTAATTATTGGAAGAAAGGTTTTGAGAACACAAAAAGAAAGCAACCGCAAGTATTTCTAGATGAATTAGATTAATTATAGCCGTTGGATTCGCGTTTTAGGTTTAGTGAGCCACCATAAGTACACTAAACAAAATGGACTATTCACCTAGTGCATGTCGAAAACTAAAGGCTTGTTTGAATAAATTTTCGTGAAATATTTAGATTGATTTCTTTAAATTTAAATCACTCTCTTTATAAATATAGAATTCAATAATTAATTCGGTTTATTACCATATTTAATATAAAACACATATTAATATAGGATTCACATATATATCATAATTATTAATAATTATTTGTCATATAAATGACTATTTTTTCTTGATTAATTTAATTTATATCTATGTTAAGAAGTATAATTATTTTTTGTATCCTTAATTTTTTAACTAATATTTCCAAACTTACTCTCTCCCTAGATTTAACGAAATTCATAATCATGAGTTTAATCTTTGGACTAGCTACAGGTCGGGTTTGAAAATTCGGAATTGAATTTTTAATCCAAATATAAAATTTGGGAATCTTTTGAATTATGTTTATCAAACCTATCTTCTCATCCCCTTGCCAAACAGTCCCTTCAAAGATGGGTCATGCGGCGTTGCCTTAGGACGTGTCATAGTCCAATTGATCGGATCAAAAATGTTAGCACTACTGAATTTGCTGGCTATTTTTTACAGTATAAATAAAAAAAATATTATTTAGACTTAAAATATTTGTTGACTTAAACAATCACAATTACTTAATAAACAATGAATTTCAATAAATACTGAAACTCATAATTTAATCAATAATAAAGATTGATTATGCCAACAAATAAAATCAAAATTTTAAGTTCAAGTAATATTATTCATATAATTCTTGATCATCACAAAATTAAGAGAATCTACTAGGAGAAAGGAATTTAATTATTTAGTCGATTATTAGCTCAAATCCTTCATAGTATGTCAAACTCTTTTTTGATGTAAAATGATATTCGAATTTTAATATTTAGATAATATTTCAGCCTAGTTTCGTGATGCATATTTTTCTGAATCACATGTTGCAATGAGGACAAGCCTACGATAAGGAAAGAGTATCACCATTATAAGGATCACTCGCAACTACCACAACGTGATAAAAATAATTATCCCATAAATTATAAAAATATTCACAAAAATAAAAAAATATCTATAAAAGTCATAAAAAAAATAATTTACAAAAGTTATAAAAATACTTATTAAAATAGTAAAATTTAGAGATACAACACCGATTTTTTTTAGTACCGTAGTCAAGTCCTCTAATGAGATGTATGGCACGATTTTGAGGTTGCTATTAGTTGGCAAGTTAAAAACAATTTGAGGCTTAAAGGGAAGGATGCATTTCTTAAATAATATGTTTTGCTAATTTCTGGAGTTTCTTTTTACTAGATTGCCGACATGTTGAGAGTTTTGTACCCCCAAGCTGAAAAAATAGGAGAAAAAAAATTCTCAAACTTTTATTAATACCATATCTGCTAATTAAGATATCGGTCATTCAAAAAAAATGAGGCCTCAATATTTGTAGATCTCTTCAATATATATATACATATAAAATCAAGCAAAACACATAGGAAATCTTATAAGCACAAAATTTATAAGAAAAAGTCAAGAAAGAAGCGTAGCACAGAAATTGAATGTTATAACTGTGGTAAAAAGGGACATATCAGCCCAGAATGTCCACTCAAAAAGAAACTCAAGCAATTAAACTTAACTAAAGAAAATGAAGAAGAAACTATCAACATCTTTAAATTAAGTAACCTTAGTCAAAATGAAGAAAGTTCAGATGATTCAAATAATCCTGAAAGTTCTTCAAACTATTAGTCGCTATATATATATATATTTTTTTTTTTAATTCTTTTATTAACTAGTAGATAATTCTCCATATATTGGTAGGACACCCTTTCACATATATATATATAGTTGCATTTGAAGTTATGATGCCGAACAATAAAAAAAATTGAGAGAAAATATATTTAAAGTGAACGTAATCCGTAAAAATTCACACTCAAACTAAGATATTTTGTATGTGTCGAAAAAAAAAGAAAAAATTATATGATTCAGAAAAAAGGTTAATGGTGGCCAATAGAGTCAATTGTTGATGTATACTCAAGAGTTTGTTTTTATTTTTGAGAATTTTTTTTTCAGTAACAACGTAGAATTTTGAGCCTATTTGATGCGAGGTTCACTGCATTTTATTAAGGTGGTTTCGAAATTCATGCATACTATTTTTGTTGGGTTCGCAAAATTATAAAATTCTAGGCCAGCTGGATAACAAAAATTGTGTTGCCCACGTTTGTTTATCAAATTTTGTATTTCAATGATGTGTCAAAATCTTATGAATGGAATAGTTGGAGTTAGTGGACCCTATAGATCCAACAACATACATTAATTTGAGATACAAAATTTGATAAACATAACATTACTCTTCGCAAAAATATAAAATTCTAGGCAGCTGTTGTTATGTGGACTTTAATATTTCAGTTAGGGCATTCATCGATTCTAGATTGATGAAACGAGTTTGAAATAACTTACAGATGTTTAGTTTGAGAATTTAATCTTGGTAATATCCAATAAATTTCCTTGCGCTAATTGATGCGTTCAATTTGGTATTTAAGATGTTGCGAGTTGGATGTGTTACTATTTTCTTTTTCTTTTTTGGATGTTACTAACTTTTGTTTTTATTTTTCGAAATGTTAATATTTAATGTTATTATTTTTTACTTTGAATGATAATATTGAATATTAGTCATTATCCGTGTCTGAAGACACTCTTAACACAAAAAATTCGCCAAGCAAATAGGACATCCAATAATATCTTAAATAAAAAAAATTCAAGGGTTGAAACGAAGAAGAATCATATCACATTAATATAATCCAAGAATTTCCATGAACTTAAACTAACATCATTACAAAATCATCATGTTATAAATTTCTACATGGCCGTTATTCTTTTCACCAAATGAGTGTTCAAATTTTTAACATCTGGCTAAGGCTGCCAGGTTTTAATAAGGAATATCATTAAGAACACAATTAAATCACTGTATTCAATCAAGTAAATTAACCACATTGAACTAAAATTTAAATTTTCAAAAAATAGAAAAAAGCCCAACTGAACTAACATTGCCCAACGGATTTGTTTGTATGTGCGGGAACAATTGATTTAGATTTTGTCGTTGTGACTTCTCGGATTTTATAGAAATATTCTCACGCTTTAATTAAACAAAATTAAAATTTTACCACTTCAAAAAAAATTGATTTAATTGACCTTTTGTCGTTTTCGGTATTTATTTTGCACTATTCAAGTATTAAAAAAAAATATGAATATTAGTAAGGGTCTACAGTCTAAATTTTTTGTGGAAGTTATGTATTGATTCTGAGATTGTTCACTTAATAAATATTCTAAATCTGACTAATACATTTGAATTGCTTTCTTACTTAGGGGTCTACGGTCAGAAATGGAAATGGGGTCCATTGCCAAGAAAGTGATGCACTTGCTAATGATTGTTTTGGGTCTTTACGCTTTCTTATGATTTCGTAATTTATTGTTTTTGAATTTGATTTCATTTGGATATGCTAAGAATTTTATTTATTCTAGGGTACACATTGGAGTGGACAATAATACTGTCATAGGAAGAGGGTTGTAAGGGGGTAAAAATCACTATGGGATTTCAGTCTTCCATTCAAAAGATTTCGGTTTGACCTGAGTTAACCCATTGGGCAACCCTCCAGTAACCTTTACTCCTCTTCGCCTGCAGGAGCTTGTTCCATATCGAAAGAGAGTCGCCTGCAGGATCAAGTGACTAGTGGGTATCTCCTCCTTTGAGTGCAAGAGCTTATATGCAAGGGGGGAAAATGACTCTCTTCTGATGTGGGACAAGCTCTTGCAGGCGAAGAGAGGTAAAAGCTACTAGGGGGTCGTCCAATGGGTTAATCCAGGTCAAGCCAAAATCCTTCAAGGGGAGGGCTGAAATCCAGTAACGATTTCTACCCCTTATAGGTACTCACTAGTCACTTGATCAAGATCAAGTGCTAGTGAGTACCTCCTCCTTTGAGTGCAAGGGTTTATATGCGAAGGGGGAGACGACTCTCTTCCGATGTGGGATAAGCTCCTGCAGGCGAAGAGGGGTAAAGGCTACTGGAGTCGCCCAATGGGTTAACCCAGGTCAAGCCGAAATCCTTCGAGTGGAGGGCTGAAATCCCGTAACGATTTCTACCCCTTACAAGGATTCACATATAATGAGTCCAAAATAGGTATGTTGATTTGGTTATTGATTTTAGATGTGATCACGCAGTCATGACTTTGGTTAACTTCATTAATTTGGATTTGAACTCTTTCATTGAAACTTTAAATGGATGTTTTGCAGCCTCTGCCCCAGTTTATTTATTCAAAAGATGATATGGTGGAAACCTTGAAGACCTCAAGCCCTCAAAACTAACCTTTCAATTTTTCTTCATACGTGCAACCTTTTTTCACATCAGGTATATTAAAATGTGATGTTTGCATCAGGCAATTTAATTTTGGATAATAGTTTTGTATGAGTCCACATCTTTTTAGAATTTAGCTCCTTTCTTTTTCATAACATGATTATCCTTTTTCTAAAATTTCTTAATTAAGTACTTAAATATTGTTAACTAGGTATCCATTAGTTATTCCATCAAAATCCTTCAAATTTAACAAACAAGAGCAAAAGAAAGCTCCTGCTATTGGACTCAGGTTTCATGTTAGATTAATCTCAAAATCTCAATGTTATTTATATTCTATATTTTTTGTTTTTTTTAAGGAATGATACTTCCCCCTTCCTGGGTTCTTTTTGCTTTCACCTATCCTTTGTGTGGTGGCCTTTGTCCGTCACACTTCCACCAGAACAACAATTACATTTGCAATTATGCAGCACTACCTACTACTCTTGAAAGCTCAATGTACTTTGTCAT